GTGACTTACACCTCTACTCAGATCTGTGCCTTAAAAGGATCAACAGTGGAAATAAGCTGCACCCTCACATACCCATCCAGAATAAATGGCCATGATACTAAAGTTGAGGAAACATTCTGGTTTACTAAACTGCAAGATAAAGAACCTGTGGATCTGAGAACAGACTCAAGATACGCAGGTCGTTTGCAGTACAGTTGTTCTGACAACATCTGCACTCTGAGAATCACAGACCTGAGAGAGAGCGACTCAGCTGAGTACAAGTTCAGGTTCATAACAAACCAGCCAGGTGGAAGATTTACTGGTTCACCTGGAGTCACTTTGTCTCTCACAGGTAACATTTTTGTTGGAAACCATGTAAGTTAGCTCCAAATGCTCTACATTTGGGAAACACTACAGTGAATTCTGTATGCCTTTTATCATGTGTGTAAAATGAAAGCTCAATCTAAAATTATATTGTTGTTTCTTTACAGATACAGGTTTCCAGGTGCAAGTGAGCAGCTCACAGTCATGCATGTTTTACACGTGTACATGGTCACAGCTTAAGTGTCTCAGCAGCTGTAGTCTACCTGATCAAACCTCCTACATCTGGTACAAGAATGGGCAGAAAATTGAGGAAGAAGCACCTTCTTATTCAGACTACTTTTATCCTGCAGACAGCTATTCCTGTGCCCTTAAAGGACATTTTCCTTCTCCATCAGTGTGTGAGTTCCACAATCTTCTAATAATGTGATGCTGTTTTGAACATTTTAGCTGATGTTCTTTATCATGACTTCATGTATCTTTTAAAAGAAGCAAACTCATCCACAGCAATACAACCAGCTGTGAATTACTGCAGTAAAGACTATAGTTTTAATAATCATCAAAATATTTCATTTTCAGGTGGCCATGGTCATTCATGCAACAGAGTGACTTACACTGACAGAAGCATCTGTGCTGTCAAAGGCTCATCAGTGGACATTTCTTGTACTTACAACAGTTATGAACTATCAGATCTAAATTCTGGTTCAGTCCTGAACGTAGTCTTCAGTGGCAGAATCCCTCACAGCCTGAGGACCTTAGTGAAGACTCCCAGTATGCAGGTCGTGTTCAGGTCCTTGAAACAGAGAGAGGACGCTCCACTCTGAGAATCACTGACCTGAGAGAGAGCGACTCAGCTGAGTATCACTTCAAATTCACAGCAGGAAGCTTTGAATGGAGGAGTAGTTTACCTGGTACAACTCTGACTGTCACAGGTACTGATGAACACAAACTGTAACAGCACATTTAAACTATCTGATGACAAGTGAATGTGCTGAATAGTGATCCTGATGGGAAATAATTGTATGTGTGATTAACTGATTACATGATTGTCATAATGTTCTATTGTTTATATCTCTGTGTCTGTCTGTGTGTGATTCAGTTCCACATAAAGAACAAATATTTCTGTTCTTTCTTCCCAGATCTCCAGGTTCAGGTGATCAGATCAACAGTCTACAAGAATTATACGAGGCAGAGCTGCTTTGTCACAGCAGCTGTCGTCTACCTGATCGTCCTTCCTACGTCTGGTTCAAGAATGGACAGAAAATGGAAAGCGTGGAGACATCTTCTTATAAACATCAGTTTTATCCCAGAGACATCATCTCCTGTGCTCTTAAAGGACATGAGGATTTCCCCTCTCCTTCAGTGTGTGAGTTTAATGGACTGTTTCAGTGGTGTTAAAATACAAATTAAAATTTCAGACATAAGTCTTCTTCTGATCTTCTAGATCTTAATATAAAACAGCAGCATTATTTATGGAAATTAAAAAAATACCACCAGTAGAAATCAGTATTCAGATACATGTTGTCAGGGACATGCACAGACATTTTGGTGGGCGGGGCCTCAAGTTAAAAAAGGGAACTTCTCATAATTATTTATTAAATAATTTTTTAAACCAAACATTAAATATATTAACACAACTCTGACTTTCTTACCAAGTAATTTTAATTCCCTCACACTCATGCAATTGTTTCTAGAAAATAATCAGTTCAAACAGAGACCGTGGTCTTCTTTAGTATTCACACACACACACACACACACACACACACACACACACACACACACACACACACACACACAATAACTGATGGTGTCATAGACTTAGTTTCACATTTGAGGGAGGGCTGTCTGTATCATGTAAAGATCTATCAGCATACAACAAACTAATAGAATGGATAGTTATTAGATGAGGAGACTACGATCAAAATGATGAAGTTACTGCTTAAGTCAGGAAACTTTCTGGCAGCTGCTCAAGCCCCTTTTAATGTTTATGTGTGCACGTGCCTGCATGTTGTGATATAACTCATAACTCTTATGTCAAATTTCAGTGATTCAGGAATACTAGACGTATAACATTTTTCATTAAGACAAGACTATTGTTAGTCTGTAACTTTTTTTTTCATGGTAAAGCTTTAAAATGGAGTTACCAGTCTCTGAAGATTTGTTGCCGACAGACTCGACAGACAGACGGTCTTTAGTAGTGGTAAATCTGAAACACATAAGTGCTGCTACGACCACTGACAAATGTGTTTTTGAAAATACCAAATGATTAAAGGCTTGCTATTGGCTGTCAGTTTCAACAAACAGGATTCAGACCTGGGACAGATCCAGAATCAGCACCATGGGCATCCACTTTGTCAAATACTAGAGAATCAAAAAGACACAAACAGAGAAATTTTATGAAAATAGTCAATCGTCTATAACATAGTCTAGCATTTCAGTAATTCAAGTTTATACATTCAACAGATGCTCTGAAGCTTCCCTCTGTGTCAGTGAGTCCCTCTGCTGAGATAGTGGAGGGCAGTTCAGTGACTCTGACCTGCAGCAGTGATGCTAACCCAGCAGCTAAACACACCTGGTACAAGGAGAACCAAACTCTGCTCAGTGAAGAACCACAGCTTGTCTTCAGCTCCATCCAGTCCTCTGACTCTGGAGAGTATTACTGTGCAGCTGAGAACCAGCTGGGGAGGAAGACAACTAAATACATCATTAATGTGAAATGTGAGTGGAACAGTTTAAAAATAACAAACAGCTTATTAAATGAATCTTTGCGGGAGAAAATCTTAGCAGTAGTGCAATCTGGACACAGTGCTGTCAACGTGGAAGAGAGAGTGAACACTTTATTAGCAGGAGGAACTCAGAAACAGCAGGTGGAGTTGGAGCAGGCCTCAGTTACATCCAATCATCAGTACTTCTCATCCTCTTTTAAACTGAATTTAGATTTCAGGTCTGTGTGTAACAAAGGGTCTTTCTGAAATTGTATAGAAACATAATAATGGAAAACTCCCTATAATAATCTCCTCGACACAATGTGATTCTTTAGAGGACATATTTTTATTTCATTATGATTATATTTTATTCTTTGGATTATTGCTTGACTGATTTGATTTAGGATTCATCCTGAAGGTGGCCACTATACAGCTCTTCAATCATTTCACAGTAAGGCTTGAAAAACGTGAGTTTAATATCTTGCCTGTTGCGTGTAGAAAACCACAGGAGGTCAATCACCTGTTTCTCAACATGCCTGATATTGTGTTGAAAGATGTGATGTCACTAGTGCTTTCCAACCAAATGGACATTGCACACAGCTCCCCTCTAAGTAAAGCCATGTAAGTTGAAATGAACTTGCACTTGCCAAAACTTGAAAATATTTCTGCCCACATCACTCCTAACGGCAGCTGCTCCAGTCCAGGGCTTCAAACGCTAATGGAGACACTGAAGGTTGATGCTTCTTTAATACACTTAACGTTCCTACTTCTGAGTTTCGTAATTAAGTTTTATTTACCTAAAATGAGCATCTGATGTTAGCTAGCTGATAGTCCACACTACTTTTCACCACTTGCCTATATCATTTTGGATTAGTTATTGTAGAGATACATTTTGACATCAATATAATAATAATAATAATAATAATAATAATAATAATTACTTTATTCAGGACTCAAAATGGAAGGTCCATAGTACACAGAAAAACAAGATGAAATAACAATAGTTACAACATAACAATAAATATACAGTACATTGATAAAAATTAATTAAAATTCCATTTCCTTTAAGGCAAATATAGGGTTCATTATTTCATCAAATCTTGGCTAAGTACAGTAAATGTTAAAAACCAAGTTTGTTATTTCAAACGTATTCAGTTTCAGTTTTATTTATAGAACGCCCAATTCATAGGAAAAGTCATCTCATTGCATTTTTTATGTAGAGCAGATGTAGACCATACTTTTCATATTACTGAGACCTAAAAATTCCCAATTCCCCAACAATGTATGACTACTGCTTTACTGAGTGTAGATTACATTTCATTCATAGTCAATATGAGCAAGAGTAAAGGAGACATTTGCTAAGAAAGAGTAAGTTGAAACTTGAGACAGTTTGAACTAAACTTAAAATAATAAGAATTAGGAATCAGAGATGATAATGCAGACTGCATTATGACAGTGTCTTTGGTTCTGGTTCAGCATTGTGTGGGTCTGTGTTTGAGCGGTCATGATGGTCTGCTGCTGTGTGCTGGTCTGACTTTCTGGCAGGTTTTTTCTAGAATACTTGGTGCCACCTGACAACAACAGTTGTTGTGTGTTATGGGGCACCCATCAACTGGTGTAATAAATGTGATTTATCATCATCTACAGACTGAAGACATTAGTTCAATAAGCAAGGATATATTAAGCATTGTAAGATTTTAGTTCACTGAAGCGTGTGCCTGCACGTGACCTGGGAAAAACGTCCTAAAATGCCTAAAAACAGGCCTGTAAACAAATATTGACAAGTTGTCTCTCTTTTGTCCGCAGATGCTCCAAAGCTTCCCTCTGTGTCAGTGAGTCCCTCTGCTGAGATAGTGGAGGGCAGTTCAGTGACTCTGACCTGCAGCAGTGATGCTAACCCAGCAGCTAAATACACCTGGTACAAGGAGAATGAAGACTCACCAAAAGCATCAGGACAGAACTTCACCATCACTGACTTCAGAGCTGAACACAGTGGGAATTATTACTGTGAAGCCCAGAACAGAAGAGGACGTCATAACTCCACCTTACATCTGATTGTTGTTGCAGGTAAGGTTTTATAATTTACCTTCACACACCTGTTAACTGCAGAGTTTACAGCCACATCTTTGAGCTCACCTTGGGTTACAGAAGCTCAGCTAACTTTAGTTAGGATTATTTTTACACTTTGAAAAAAACGATCCCAAAAAACACATTTAACCATTGTTAGTTTCCATTTATCACTAATTCGCTTTTGGAATTAAGAATTTCTAAAACTTTTCCAGTGTTTGTGCTTGATTGTTGTTTTCCAGGTTCATTGAAATTTCCAGTTGCTCTATCAGTCAGTGCTGTTGTTCTGGTCTTCATTCTTCTTCTCTCTGTCGTCCTGTGGATTAGGTGAGCAGATCACTTTCTCTGTGATTAAATGTACGTATATTCACATTTTTTAACTCATCTCAAAGCACTAGTCACATGTTCGTATGTGCATTTAAAGTTAGCTGTAATGGTTCCTCCTGTTAATACTGACCCTCAAGAGATCCCCTCTTAAAGCAGTTTCAATGTAAGTGATGCAGGACTTCCTTCCATATTAAAAAACTAATTGTGGAAGATTCCCACTTGATTTGTCTAACTGACAAGTTTATTAGCTTCATCGTTTTAGCACAGAATGATGATTTTAGATTTTGTCCTCCATCACTTACATTGAAACTACTTAGGGAGGGATTTATTTGTTACATTCATCGTGATTTTGCTGTAACAATAACTCTCAATGTACATAGGGCATTTTAGCATTGTAGTCATGTTTGCTTGAAGAAATGTGTTTAGTTATTCATTTGCTTCTTTTATTTATTCTCCTGTCAGAAGAGAGAGGTCTTTGCAACAACAACCTGAGGCTGGTGAGAGACCACACAACAGAGCAGAGGTACAAACTAAAACATGCGTTCAGTCATCTGAAAACTCATAGGTGCATCACATCCTTCTTTGACTACTTTCTTCACCCAAATTAACCACGCTCTCCTTTATCTGTTTCCCAACCTGATGGCTCAAAACCTGTTTTATTGTACATGTGGGCACCATATACAACATATGACTGTTAAGACTTCAAAAACTTTTCCTTCCCACAATAAATTAAGCAGCTTTTATCCAGCCATACTTCTGGCACACTGTTCCCCTGTTAAAATGAACAGACAGGACTGTCATCTTGTAAATAATAGTGTAAGTAAAATATGAATACTATTGACCTCTGCTGGTGAGCACAAGGTATTACAACACAAAACAGATTTTCAGTATCAAGCTTCAGTACTTTGGTTTTTGGTTTAGCAAATTAGGCTGAACACACTCATGGTCCTGTCATGCTGCAGTGCAGTAACAGTCTTATTTACTACCTTAAGTCACACTTGAGTTCTGTTTGTCTTGTAAGCAGTACATGGAAAATGTAAAAGTCCTCTTGTCTATGTGGCAGGAGACAGATGAACTTCAGTATGCAAGCGTACAGTGCGTTAGGAACCAGCCAGAGGCTCTCTACTCCAACTTCAGCCCAGCTCAGCCCCTCAGAAACGAGGAGGAGGTTGTTTACGCGACCCCCATCTTCAACAGTGCCGCAGGGTGAGCAGCTCTTCACACAGGACAATCTTTGTTGCTGTTTAATTTAAATAAAATACACATTCAGTTTGAAAGTGTCAGAGAATTTAATCTCACATTTTTGCTGTTGCATGTGTCTTTTTATGGTTTTATGTTTCTTGTTAAGTGTTCTTCTTTTAATTATTGATTTCTTCACAGAACAAGGCGTCAAGCAGCTGTGGAGGATGTATCTGCCCTGTACAGCAGAGTTAATAGAAGCCACTGAGTGTGATGACAACATGGATCTGTGGTCTGTATTTATGCATGGACTTTCGATGGGCCCATTAATTTTTCCTCAAGACAGAATTGGTTAAGAGTGCAAATTAAGGCAACAATATTTCATTTATATCTTATATTAATGAAGGACAGGTAGATTAAATATTAGATACCTCTCTAACGGTTACATTAAAACCTTCATGAAAGTAGGATTTATCACAGGACAGTTGTGTTGAACGGCATTAGTTTTAGATCAGTGTACTTAATAATACACTTCCATCTTTTCAGGACAATGTTTTTTTTCTTTGTCTTTTTTTTTTACTGTTTTGATTATTATATGATCACAACTGTTACAATGTAAGTCATTCACACCTATTGCCAATATTTTTATGCTCATTTTCTGAATTTGTATTTTATTGTCATTTCAAACTGAGTCTTTACATTTCTTTACATGTTTTGTATTGTTTTGTCTTGCATGGAAATAGTGAGTAAGACTCCTTGTGTTTGGCCTGATGAGTTGCTTGGAAACACTTTTTTAAAAATGTAAATGGATAAAAGTATTTTTAGCTGTATTTAAGTCTTTGACATGGAGTTTGTATTCCAATCTGATTAACCAGAACATTTATACATCTTTTTGAAGTTGTAAAATCTAAATGAAAAGCGCTCCATCGTTTGGGGCATGCATTAACTTTGAAAACAACAGTTTTTTGCAGTAAAATAGAAACCAATCTGTACACATGATGTTGCTAACAGAGCTCATAGCAGGGCAGTATGTCATTTATCCAGTTTGTCTCTTACTAGTCTGAAGTGTGGTGAGAGTGAGAGTTTGTGAGACCATAAATATTAATAATAAGTTTAAAATTATTAATAAATAGTTAGGAAAAGACAAAGGTTTATCTTAAAACAAAAGTATTTGCTGTATCATTCATCTTGTTCATACTGGACATTTAGAGATCCCTTGCTAAAAAAAGTTTATATGAAATGAATATGAGGCTTAAGTCGTCTAAGTTAGACAAACAAAGTGCTCATCTCCCAAAGTTACTGTCCTTTTAGTACAAAATCCCCACTTTGTGTTTACAGGACAGCGTTTCCTTCCTGAGCTGCCGTGACAGAGGGGACAGGGACAGAAGAGGGAATATCCTAATGAAGAAGACTGTAATAGACTTCTAACTTTGTTTGTCTAAACCAGACATCATATTATCAGATACTAATTGGAGTGTATTTCTGCACAGACTGAGGACTGCTTGTTCTGAATCAGCAATTTTCTTAAAAAAGTCAAATCTTCATGTGGCAGATAAAAGTCTGCTGAGCACCTTCTGATTCCATACAAACAGTTAGTGATCCACAACTCAAAGAAAGACTCCTAAATTTCCAATAGTTCCTTTTGCAAGCACAGAAACAAATGTTTAATATATGAACTCTCCTTCAGAAAGCAATGAGGTGATCAGTAGCAGTAGCCAGCTGCCCACAGAGGTAACCACACCTGCCTGTAAAATCTCTCAAGCTGTTTGTGTCTGTGAGGGAATTTAGGCCAGGTTAATGGAGGTGACCTGTCACACTTAACCTGTCTTCTTACGTCTCGTGTCTCACGCCTCATGTCTCTGGCAGGGTGCTGCTGAAAACGACACAAAACCGAGGAAGTTGACATGATGTGGACGAGTTTAGAGTTAAATCAATATAACCACACGCTTAGTAAATTAATTTTATCAATTCAATTGGATCTGAAATAACAGTGGTTTTATTTATCCTCTTTATTATACACTGCTTACAAATTGTATGTTTTTGTCAAATGATTTTATGTAAGTTCAGTCCAGGTTGTTGAGTGACTTGTTTTTGCTTTGATACATGCGTCACAAAACATTCAAAATAACTTTAATGGCTCTTTTTTGTCATTATGACACTGTCTGTTTAAGGCCAAACCATATTTTTAGTGAAGTTTAGGGATATAATGTATTTCTTATATGGGGACTAAAATCAGTTTAGTCACATTATGAAGAAATGCATATCCCAACAACTTAAAATGATTTAATATTATCGTGGTTTAAGGAAGGGTTGGTTTTAGGCATATAGTGTTTATGCTTAGGGTGAGAGTTTCCAGGAAGTCAACAGAGTGTCCCCTCAACACATTAACCTGTCAACACATCCTGTTTTTGTCAGGTGAAGGAGCAAGAGCAGAAGTTGTGTTTGCATGTAATATTCCTTACAAATTGATTGTAGTTCCTTCAGTTACAGAAACAAATGCTCCTTTTGTTAAATGAAATGATCTTGAATACAGTTGTTATAAACTTCAATCAAGGCTTCTGAGCACATCCCATGATCAGTGATGGAAATGAAAATAACCATGAATAAATAAATAACCTACACACAAGGTGTTTCATAAATATACAGCATGTAAGATTGGCTGAAGACATCAAAGTGCATCATATTCTGTACTTTTAAAGCAATCGTATATTGAATATGTTACCACCTTGATTTCATCTTAGACCTTTTTATACTCAAATGAATCACTTAACCTTTTTCAGTACTAGACTCATCTGAACCTGCAGACCTGAACAGCCACAGCATCAAACAGTGTTTCTCAGCAGTTGATGGTTTAGAGCATTGCAATAATGCATACTTGTGTTAAGTTGGGGGACTAATAACTATCGAAGCAGCAGAGGCCGAGAAATCCTGACTTTTACCCCCTAGTAGGAGTTAGGCTATAATGAATCTAAAATCTCTACATGCTACACTTCCTAAAATCAGGGACGTCACTAGGATTGAAAGACAGGGGGGGGCTTAGCCCCTAGGGCAGCGGTTGGCAATAGGGGCCCGCGGGCCAGATAATATTGTTGGCGGGCCAGTTCTGCCGGCCAGATTGCTTTGATAACAGAAAAATAAAAAAATTAAAGCGGCTGATGCTTAAATAGATCTGAGTCGTGACAGCAACACTCACATAATTACTTAAGTGATTGTGCCTCCAAAATAAAAACGCAAGAACGTTTTTTGTTGAGTTTATTGAGAGCCTTTACTTTGAAAAGTTCTGAAGAACATTCGAAAGAGTCTTGGCTTTCTTGACACACCACTGAAAAAGCCGTCCGTAAACGAGTGATTGGATTCCCCTGAATTTCCTCAGGGAAATGAAAATAAGCGTCCATAGATCAAACGCCAGGACGTACAAGCACTGCGGCACATGCATTATTGTGAGCATGTGAAAAAGACTATCAATTTATTTAGCAAGGGAGAAAAAAAAGTCTGCAGGATTTTAGGATCAATCTTACAACTCCTGCAACAGGAGTCCCACACTCTACCAACTGAGCTAAACATGCACATGAGTATCCAAGGTTTGAAATAATTTGACTGAATATATTAATATTTAATATATATCAAAAGAACAAAATTGATTGCTTGATGTTTAGTATGTAAAGCGAGTGAGACATGTGGGACCGCCTCTTCTCCCATCATGTACCTCTCCATCTGTTCAGAAGTAAGATTGGTAGCAGAGGCCACGCCCATCTGCCAGATGTGACCTTCAACTAGGTCACCAAATGACTGTTGATACCATTGTGTTTCTTGTCTGTCATAGAAGAGCGTCACATGGGGAGGGTCTGGAGGTGTGGTGTAGGGTTCGAGGAGGGTGATCCATTTTTTCCACAGGAGGTAGGAGCTCATCAGTCCCCCTTTTTCAGGAGTCTCAGGTTGCACGAGGCCCCAATAGATGTCAGCTGTGTGAGCCTGCAGGGTTGTAACAACCATTGTCCAGTTTGAGGGTATCCACATCAAAACTGAGTTCCATCTGGTAGGGTAACTACTAGTCCATCAGCGCTGCACAAGATGGTGGCTCCTAATTTTATCAGGAGATCTCTTCCCAGTCGGTTTACAGGGACTGTAGGGGACACCACAAATGGTGAAGCAAGCGTTGGTGTCCCAGTTGTGTTGGCAGCGATTCAGTCACTGGCAGTTTCTGTCCTACCCCAGAGAAACCTACAACCTGCACGGTGTCATTGGAGATTTGATCACGTGGTGGGGTCTCTGCGTAGCTCCCTGACTTCTTTGTTGGTTGTTAGGATTTTGTGCACAGTTCTAGCCCAGTGGGAGGTGTTTCCACATATGAAACATCCTCCGTAGCCTCCTCCTCCTCGTGTTTCCCTTTGAAACCCACCTCTACCTCTCCCCCTTCCACGACCTCCTCTGTTTCTCCCCTAGGAGGTCCCATGACCGTTGGTTCCACCCTTGATTCTGAGAGGGGTGGTGTGGATCCACCCACGGTGGGATGGGATATAAATCTGGAGTATGTGGGTCGGTGGGCGGAGCTCCAGCCACCAACTGTTTAGTAGGGCCCTTCTTTTTTCATTTACCTCCTGTCTCGCCTTCCCCAGCTGCAGCTTCAGTAGCTGCGTCCGCAATCTCATTCTCTTTCCCTTCTTCCTGATCTTTGGCTCTCTGCAAGTGGTGTATTAGGTGTCTCTCCCAAATCTGGGACTCACTTCCTGGGAGGTCTGGATTGCTCAGCATGGCTTCTTTAACAGAGTTTGGAACCCCCTCCAATACAGCCTTCCTGAACCACTCTTGCTGCCTCCCTTTCCAGGGTGACAGCCAGTGTTTCGGCCCAGGTTTCCTTGCACTTATCTAAATAATCACGTGGGTTTTGGTCTGTTTTCCAGGGGAGTTTGGGCACTGTCGCTGCATTGGGTAGTGGGAATCGTTCTCTCATTGCTGCCCCTACATCCATCACTAGTCGAGTAAAGGGAATCTCATCAGGCACATCCTCAAGTCGTCCCTCTCTTTCTATCTCCCTATCACATGACCTGGGAGACATCTGGCTGCTACAGCTCTCCAGTCCCCCAGGGCTAATTTCTGTCCTGCTGTTAGCATGTCTAGCTGGTCGAGCCACAATCCTCCCCCATCAGCTACAGGTGGCATTTTTTCCACTACGGCCTGTACAACACCTAAGCTCCATGGCTTATATTTTTCCCCAAACCCTCCTGTTCCTTGTAGCAAAGGGAGATTGAGTATCTGTCGGTTGCTCTTCTGGCGTCTTACCTTCTCCAGCTCATCTACTACCTTGCTGTGCTTGCTTTCCCTTCTCCTGTGACTCTTGGATAAGTCGCCTAGTTCTCTTCTAGTAGTGGCCTATCTGTGGGTTCAGGGGAACTGTATCCTCTAGCACCCTGGCCTATCAACGGCTTGTTATCATCCCGTTCCTCTTCCTCCTCCTGTTCCTCTTCTTCCAGCTCATCTTCTTCTTCTGAGTGAGGTTGCTCCTTCAGGAGCCAGACAAGTGTCCAGTCACCTCTTCCCTCCTGTCACTCCCTCTTGATGTTTTACCTCGGTGTCCAGATCCTCCTGTGTTCTCCTCCCTACGCCTCCTGGCTTTAAAGGGGAGGTTGTCGTCTTCCTCTCTGCCCTTCAGGACACCTCGTGAGGTTGGGCATCCTCCTGCAGTCTCTATGGTAAACTTACCTCCAGAGTCTTCTAGCACCGGGTAGATACTTACCGGGGGTGCTGTAGGCTCCGTGGCACCTGAGTAAGGTGGTGGTGGCATACCTTTGTCCCCTTCCGTCTTAGTGTTTATTTTATCTCTTCCTAAGTGTCTCACTGCCTGTGCATCTACAGCCAGCACGAACCACTTCTTTCTCTCCTCTTCCATTTTTCTGCTTCAGCTCTGCACTTCCTCTTTTGCAGCAGACTGACAGTCTTATCTTTTTCTCCGTTTCGCTTCTTCTTTTTCTTCTTTTGTTTGTCTTTAGGTTTGCTTCTGTTGCTTGTTACCAATAACACATTATCAATTTGCTCTCCCCATGGTTTCCATGGGCCCCATCCCCCATCATCAATTTCTCTGTCAAATTCTCCGTCCATCCTGACCCTGCCTAACAGTGTATCAGCCAGTCAGTTTGTATGGAGTTCACCCGAGCAACTGACCTAATCAAACAGTACTTCTCACTTCCTGTCTCAGTTCACTTCAGTTGCCACCGTTAGGTTTCTGTGAACAGAGTGGAGGCTTTTCCTGTTTGAGACACTGATGCACAAAGTATCCCTTGGAGAATATCACTCACTCACACATTCACTCCTCTGTTCGTTCACACGCAGCGCGCTGAGGTCCCAGACCTACAGAGATCCCAGATCTGTACTTTAATTTTACCTTGTGAGAGCCTAAACCACGATGCTTGGATATTCCAGATATCCGGGCCTTTCACCCTTGGTACTTCGGGGGTCCTGAATTTCCCGGGACTCAAACCCAGCTTCGGTATTTCAAACCGAACACTCCTCTTTTCTGGAAAGTGAGGAGGCTGGAGACGCCACTCCCAGGGACAAATCACATTCAACGGGCACGGTTATATCACCAACTATCCAGTTGATTACTCATCAGTTTACACACAACCACTCAAAATGACACTTTGTTATTTCCCAACAGGACCCGAAAATCCTATATTTCCTGTCCACTTGATACCTTTTCTCTTTTAATTGACTGTACACTCAGGACTTTTATCGTTCACAATTTAGTTCATTTACTCAATAGGCAGATTCGTTTAAACAGGTTCTGCTTACCTTTTGTTAGTGGCGCCGGAACGATTCAAGTCCGTTGTGTCCAATCACTCGGCCAATTAATGATCTCGACCCATCCCGGACGAGCCCCAAATTGTTGAAGTGCAACGACTTCCCTGAATTCGTTGATGAGAAGGATCAGATGAGACAAGGTATCAAGTTCACACAATGTTGATTTATTCAACCCAATACAGATATATATCCGGAGACTCTGCTGTCAGGCTGTCTAACACAGAGTCTGACTCTCTCGTGTTTGCCATATATGGTAATTGACAGTTGGTATAGAATGTTCTAGTGTGCCTTAGGGGCTGTCATGTGAGTGGATGTGTGTGTGACTCTATTAATAAAAGTGTGAAGTGTGTCAGAGTGTATTATTGTCCGGGCCCGGTTTCCTGTCATTCAGCACAAGCTTCTAACTGTCTTAACTGTTGAATTACCTTAAGATAATGATGTCACACACTATTGAGTATCATATGAACAATCCTAAGTAATAAGTAAGCATATAAGAGAATCATATCCTGCAATATCACTGTAGGGTTGTGTTGTATATCCACAAGATGTGATGTTTTTAACAGTGTTTATAGAAATCCACATTGCTTATTGCTATATACCAGTGGTTCTTAACCTGGGGGTCAGGACCCCCCTGTTGGTCGCGAGAATGCTGCTATAGGCACGGACGGACTAAAGTTGTGAATGGATCACTTTGGGTGGACACTGTAAATATTTTGCACTGTTTAATCCAGTAGGGGCAGTGATGCCAACCGCTACTGTTTTGAGTGTGTGAGGTGTGCAAACACGCAAAATATTTTCAACTTCAAAAAGGGGTCTGACTGCCAGAAAGGTTAAGAACCCCTGTCATATACTATTTTAAAGTTGCAAAGTTCAGTGTTTTGCTCTAAACTGCATTTTGTTGTATTTAGTATACAATGACAATAGAGTCTCAATCATGAATCCGAAATCTGTTAGTTGGGGGGAGTTCTGGGGGT